GGCGCTGGGGGGACGGGACCCCACGGCAGCAGGTGCACAGGCTTAGGGGGCACTGAGAGAGAGAGAGAGAAGATGCTCAGACCAGCTCTATCTCCATCACAACAGTCCCGTTCCACATCCTCCGCTCGCAGCCCAGAGATTCACCCTCCATGATCCTCCCAATCCACCCGCCACACCAAAGTCGCATGCAAGAAAACCAGAAAGAGTAGAAGAAAGATGGAGAAACTTCAGCTGTCCGAGAAACTGGCAGCTTCCTGAACTGAGAACAGGAAGTAGAGATGAGCATGCGAAAAGTGCTGCGGTTACACAGCAACAGCAAACACACAAACATAACCCCACACACACACACATGCACACACACAACAGAGTCAAGAAGATGAAGTGTGTACGTGCATGAGTGAATTAACTGCCTCAAATCAGTATGAATTTGTAAAGTGTATATTGGATGAGTTGCATATTTAGAACTGAATGAAATATAACTTCAATGATGCCATTTTCAAGTTGAATTCAGGAAGCAGATAGTGCTGTGCGCACTTCCTTCCTCTGTCTGTTTTGCACTATATGAAAGCCACAAAATATCCATGCAAGTTCACAGCATCACAAACACACATGCATGCTGGAAACTCCAAAACAGGACCATTAACACACAACAAAATCCTCCTTTTTTCAAAAGACTGTTGGTATGAATGACAGTAAGATGTGTTTAATACCGTGGGGTTTCTGTGCTCTGGGCGTCTTGGGTGTGGCTGAGGGAGTGGGGCGTGGCCTCTGTGTGAGCTGGGTGGGGCATGGCCTGGAAGGGGGCGGGCTTTTCTTCTTCTGAGGCTGCTCTACAGATCCACAGGAGTACTGCAGCGCTGCTGGAGACAAATCTACAGACAAACAAACAAAAACACAAAACATGAACGCTTATGCGATGCCACAGATTTGATCTGATGAAATCTACCAGCAGCCTAGTCAAAGGATAATGCAGAGTTTCTATGTTCAGATATTTTAGTGAACATTACCCAAATTCTTATCAGATTATATGAATTCCTCCCCAAAAAAAGTCTTATTTTAGCTGACTTTTGGTTGGTTTGTTTGTAAACAACAGCTTCCTGGTTTCCTTGTGCATATCATGAGAAAGTTACCAGCTTTAATGTTTACCATGAGTTAGATTGTCATCTAAATGTGTTTTGAAAGTCCTGTGGCTATACTTCCAAATCTGTGGATTTTAACATTTTTACTGAGGAGTGTCTTGACCCGTGGACTTCCACTGTAAGTGTATTACTGAACACACAACTTAGGATCATTTTTACAAAATGAGGAATGAGTCTGAATTATTTTCTGTGGTAACTAACAGCAGAGACGTAATGAACCCAGAACACTTTTTAATAAAAAAAAAAAAAAAACACAAAAATAAAAGCATATGTGAGCCATTTCACACAGACTAATTACCATGCTGCTTCTTTACAGAAGCTATATTATCTATATTTCATCTATATGATTTAATCGGTGTAATTCTATATTACACATTATTTCTAGCAGCTGAAAGTCCAGGAACTTCTCAACTCGACCTTCATCATGACCAGAGAGACAGCAGCCATTTCCTGAATGATCAATACAGACACAATTACATCCCAAACTCACCAATCGTTCTTCACCACAGCTCACAGAACTACCTCGAATGATTTGGCATTTGCATGTGTTTGCAGAAGCGTTCGGACAGTTTTCAACAGTCAATACAAAACATTTCACAGTACAAAAACTCAATCTGAACACTTCATCATAAAATCAGTGGGCTGACGTGTGAGAACCTCAATGCACACACCTGCTTCCCACAGACAGAAAATCATGTCAGTAGTTTCTCCTAAACAATGAGATGAAGCAGTGACCAAATAGAAACCGTCGTCTCAAACTGTGCATACAAGTGCCAGGATAAAGTCTGCCATCAAAGCTACGAGATCCCAATACCACCTCAAACATCAGATACGTTCATGCTTCTAAAGTGGATACTTAAATGAAATTACTGTGATCTCTGATTACTGATATCTCCAAGTCTTGTGAGCAGTAACTTTGAGCAATAACATGTTAAAATCACAGAAAGAAAGAAATGACTACAACATGAGACTTACTGTATGCTCTGGTCCAGATCATATGCTTCTCTCCTCAGGACTGATTCAGTCTCTCTCTCTGTGTGTGTGTGTGTGTGTGTCTTCAGCCTCCTCCCTGTTACCTCATGAATATGTAAAGCACACACACACACACACACACACACACACACCTGTGACAGGTGAGAAAATCTGAGCTGGCACTGGCTGCACCTGCTGTTGTTAGCAGTGCTGAACTCCACCTGCCAAACCCGCTTCACACGCAACTCTCTCTCTCTCTCTCTCTCTCTGTGTGTGTGTGTGTGTGTGTGTGTGTGTGTGTGTGCTCAGCTATAATCTAGAGACACAAATGAGCTCAATCTGACTAAACCTTCCTTTTGCAAACATTCAGGAGCTTCCATAAGTAATAACATTGTTTCAGTAAGGCAAATGTGACCCTATTCACTTTCTACACACTCTGGTTTAATTATGCACAATTTATTAATGCATGTTATTACAAATACAAAAAAAGGACTCATAATCTTGCAAAAAAATAAATAGACTGGTTCCAGCTGACACCACCAATTTCTCATTGTTCCACCATCTGTCATAGAAACACTGCTCCTCATGGATAAAAGTCCCACACTACATTTATTTCACATTGAATATTCTGTTTTACTGGAAAAAACTATTATATACATTAAAAAATTATGTACATAAGACGATCGTGAATGCAGTTCCCTTCCGAGGGAACTTCGAACTGCGTCCTCTAGGGGTCACTATGGGGAATGCCTTCAGCGTGACCGGTGTCTGAAGCATACATCTTAAAACAACAATAACATTGGCTGGCTACAGCCTATGACGTCATTACCCAGCGCGATCACAGTATAAAAGGGCGCCGAGATAACACGTCATCCCCTTCTTCATCTTCACGACTGTTTTGTTTGAAGCGTGCATTCCGGTAAGAGAATGTATCTCTCCTCTTTAAACCATGGCGAGCACTAGTAAGGCGTTTAAGACGTGTGTGGATCCGTGTCCTCGTTATTTGACACCTGATGATGCACACGATCTTTGCGTTTTTTGTTTGGGTAAAGAGCACGCGTGCGATGTCCTCGAGGGGGCAATCTGCATGCATTATGAACTTTTTTCTATGAAAAAGCCATCAGCTCCCCACGGTTCAGGACTCGCCGCTGCTGAGGCATGGAGGAAAATTAGCTTGTGGGGATCACAGGTGGACCTGGCTGATGAGTTGAGAGAGGGTCTTTCCCTTTCGCGCTCATCAGTCGTGGACGAGAGTGAGCTGCTGTCTGTTCCAGCGGCTAGTGCTCTGCTGGCTCCAGGCCAGGAAGAGCAGGAGATGTTGGATGAGGACGAAAAAGTTCCTCCTGCCCTGCATACGCTGAGTTGCTTGAGGTTATGGAATGCGCCACCTTGATGAGCGTTGTCTTTCTGATCATAACCCTCCAGCTCAAGTAAGCCTTCCATTTCTTCCTGATCTCCATGTGGAGATCGAGAAGGCTTGGAAAAGTCCGTATTCATCCCGTATCCATAGGTTTCAGCATACTAGTTATGCCATTATTGAGGGGATGCGTGAGAACGGTTATGAGAACCTTTCACCTTTCAAGATGGCGCCGCAAATGGCAGCCAGGACGCTGAGCTCCGCGATTCTTCTATTGTTTTTGTTTGTTTGTTCTGTGTTTTGTCATTCTTCTTCTATAAGTTTTACCAGAGACGAACTCCTTAACATTAAGCAGCACATCCCAGACAATATTTTTCCGGTTTTTGATTATTCGGACGTTTTGTTGGACATTCTAGTCGGAGGTACAGCTGTGTTGTTCAAACGCGCGTGCAGACGCAGAAGAGGGAAACGCGCCGGCGCCCTGGTGAAGCTCCGCGCGCGCGGCTTTCGGACTGCGCTCCCAAGCATTCATCTCGCGAATGTCCGTTCCCTTCCTAACAAAACGGATGAACTTCTTCTCCTCACCCGCACCAACAAGGACTTTTCTAACTCTGCTGCACTGTGCTTCACTGAAACCTGGCTGAGTGAAGCCATTCCGGACAACGCGCTTCATCTGCCGGGCTACCAGCTGTTCAGAGCGGATCGCATCGCGGAGTTAACGGGGATACTTGGTAATAAAGCTCTTCTGATTCTGATTCTGATTCTGAGAAGATGCCCCCTATTGAAGAGACGCTCACCAGCTATCTCTCTGTGGGTGAAACATCTTCTCTTAAGGCTCCCTCCCTGCCGTCCAAACCCCTTCAGGATACATCTCGTTTGAATGGCAGGGCGTACGCAGCAGCAGGTCAGGCTTCAGCTTCGTCGCACACTATGGCGGTGCTTCAGGCTTATCAGGCTGACCTGTTGAAAGACCTGGATAAAGGCCAGGGTTTATCCCCTGATGAGATGGCTGAATTGACCACAGATCTCGCTCTCTGTGCCAATAAACAGACCGCTACTGCCATTGGCAGATCTATGGCGGCCATGGTGGTTATGGAGAGGCATCTGTGGGTGAACCTGGCGGATATCGGGACGAAAGAGAAGGGCTTTCTGAGATTTTTGGCACTTCCGTCAAGATGGTGGTCGAAAAGTTTAAGGAGGCCAAGACGCGCTAGGCTGCCTTTAAATCCTTAATTCCACGAAGGTACAGGTTTGAGCCCGAACAACTAAGGGGTCCTGGCCCGTCTTAATCTAAGGGTCAGAGACGGGCACAGAAGACTAGTGTCGCAACTCGCGCCCCTCCCTCTCCTTCAGGTAGGGGTCAAAGGAGGCATGAGTCAAAGGGTAACAGGCAAGATTTGAGGGAGGTGATCCAGATGAGGCGTTCTCAGCGCTCTCGTCCAGACCAGAGTAAAACCTAAACATCTTCTAACCTCCCTTCGAGAGTTTTTACATCTGCTCTTATCTT